ACTTCCGATCCAACAGGGAATGACGAGTCGTTGAAGGAACGAAGCCGACCAGCTACGGAGGAGTCGGAGAAGGGGCGATCGAGAGGGAGAATGGGAATGAGCCAGGGATCGGAGAGGAAGAGTGCGAGGGAGAGGAGATCGGAAGAGAGCTCGGGAGAATCGCGTAAGAGGAGAGGCCGAAGGCCTCATTTTCTTTCGATATTTAACGACGCGAGTGCGTCGTGCAGGCGACGTGGGTGATGCGACCTCGGCGTGCCAGCGACGTGGGAGGAAGTCGTGCGACGTGGTTTGGCAGGGAGCGGGTATGAGATTTTTTTTGTTTCTTTTCTCTTTTTTTTTACAGAGAAGGGTCAACAGGTAAACACTCACCCCAGGTCTATAAGATATCATTGGACGAAGCAATTCATGGCTGCTGACAAGAATCCTTCTATCAAGTTGGGTCGACTACCTCCTCTGACTAAGTAGACCAAGGACCACGATGACCCGGGACGACGGAATCATGGGATCTTGATCGGGCCTATCGTCTATTCCCCCACCATCCGTTTTAAGTGCAAAATGGTGAAATTTCCAATTTTAAATATCCAACTTCCCAAAATTCTCACATGTCCATGAAAATTCAAAATCCCATTATCGGGAGTGGTAATTAACCATAGGGGCTTGTGCCTATAGGAAACAAGAACTCAGATCACAAAGTCCTCGCAAAATGACGGTGAAATCTCTGGGTAGTGTTTTATTTACAAACCCATCTGCCTTCCCAAAATTTACTTCAGAACTTAATTCCGTTAAAACTCCCCCAAAGAGAAAAGCACAGCGAGCGGAGGTCGAGGTCGAATTTTCGAAGCCCACAGAGTCGACACGGCTCAAACTGTTATACAAATATACGGTCGCGGTGCGATCGATATATTTATTTTATATATTCATATTAGGCCTTCAAGGCCTAGAATAAAGAAAATTCACTAATTAAAGTATAAAGCCGGCAACTGATCTGATGCTCTGTCAACAAGCAGACTGAGTCGATAAGGTTTGACCAACAAAATGAAATTGCCCAATAAAATCTCGATTATGGATGTTTTGAATGTTTATCTCAACTAGAAGGGACCTCAAATATTTAAGAATACCTCCCAAATTCTCACATGTCCATGAAAATTCAAAATCTCGAAAATACCATAACCTAAAATATTTAAAATTGAAATTAATCTTCAAATACTTAGTAAAATACTCATCCAACATTCGCAACATTTAGCCGAGGTGGACAAATTTAAAAATCATTTCACCGCACAAAGAGCAAATATCTGGTCGATAATATTACTAGAATTCATTCTCAATCTCTCTTCCCAGTAAGGACGTGACATGTGTCCTCTAATTGTTAGTTTCACTGCCAAATGACACCACAAGTAAATGGTTATGATCAGGACCCTCTGACCGGGTGATTTTGCCGCCAAATGGCATCATTAAATTATGGTCATGTTCGAAGCCCATATGTTCCCCAATGGTGTCAAATCCTTGAGTAATGAATCAATAAGATATAATCGATATGACACAAAGTCCTCTGTTAGCTAAGATGGATACAAATATGTCCCCTTAGACAAATATCCATCCTAAATCTATAAGGTATCTTTTGACGAAACAACCAATGCCTGGCGACAAGGATCCTTCTGTCAGGTTGGGTTATCTCCTCTAACTAAGTAGACTATGAACTATGATGACTCGGGATGACGGAACCATGGGATTTCATCATCATTCCCTCACCATCCATTTTAAGTGCAAGATGGTAAATTTCTAATTTTAAATATTAAATTTTCAAATACCAAACTATGTTGCTACTATACTCCAGATACTACGTATCTGTTTGACGACTAGCCTTAATTGAAAGTTCTATCTCGTTATCGAGAGGGGTAATTAATTATAGGGGCTTGCGCCTATAGGAAACCTGAACTCGAATGATAAAGTCCTCACAAAATGAGGGAAAAATCTCTGGGTGATGTCTTATTCACAACCTAATCTGCCTTCTGAAAATTTTCTTAGGAACATACTTGTTAAAACTCTCCTCGATGACCTGAAGAAAGAAAGGGGCCACGGAGAGACCAGGGTGTGAATTTTCGGATCCTTGATGCTTGTTAGTCCCCATCCTCTATTCCAGCAGACACTTCAGACTCCTCTGTCCTATCTTGGCAATAAAGTTTTGCCCCAACCAATATGTCACCACTTCTGGATGGCTAAGACAATTGCCATCAACTCCCGCTTGTATACGAACTTGAGCCTCGCCCTGGTCGTGAGCACCTGGTTGAGATAAGCAATGGACCGATAATCCTACATGAGCACTACCCCTAGTTCATATATTGATGCATCCATCTCCACCATAAATGGTCTGTTGAAATCATGAAGTAGCAATAAGGGCATGCTGGTCATGTATCTTTTTAGCTGCTCGAAGATCGTGTTTTGGTCCCCCCCAACTGAAAATGTCCTTCAACTGCTCCATTAGTGGCCATACTATCATGTCATATCCTCGCACAAACTTCCGGTAATATCCGATGAGACTTAAGAACCCTCTCAACTCCTTCAGGTTTTGTAGCTCCACCAAGTAGCCCAGCTCTGCTCCCTGTATCATTGTAACCATAGTTTTGAGTGAAACCAAGGTTCTGCACAGGCTAACATCTCCTTGTAGCACCACCCTCTTCCCCTCCACCTGAATCTCCATAGTCAAATATTTTTGGTCCACCTTCGTCTCCCCGATTGTCTCTAATCACTTCATTACCAGAATCACATTAGTGCTCCCCAAATCCAAGAGAAGACAATCTTTCACTATACGTATGTCCTGGAGTACCAACCTCCTACAAATCCTCCCACTCCTTTCCACCTTCTCCGTCCCCACATGGCTCCAAAGCTCTTCTTATCCTCCAAGTCCAAACCTAACTAGTCAATGACCTAGTTTGAGATGAAGTTGTGTAGCTTCACTATCCATTAAGACCACCACTGACCGCTCCACGATCTGTCCCCTCACCTTCATGGTGTGATTTGGAGTAAATCCCACCATTAAGTTAAGGGACACTTCAGCTACATCAAGGTGTAGGTGCCCCCCTCTCTCTTCTTCTTTCTCATCCAACTCTTCACTATCGGTCTCCACCATATTACAAACCATAAAGATCTGGAGTGTGTGATCCTTGCACCGATGGCCATGTGCATACTTCTCATCGCATTAGAAGCACAAGCCCTTTGCTCTTTTATCCTGCACCTCTGTCTCTATGAGGCGCTTGAAGTTGGCTTCAGGGCGATCTCCCTCACTCCTCTCCCTTGGTGTATCTTGCTGAAATGCCATCGTTTGAGTCTTCAATGCCAATGAAGTTGAGGGGTTTTTTTAAGAGCCTCAAGTGACTTCGATCCCGCTAGTCCTCTCCATCTTCCTTCAGTCCTCTGCTATATGGGCTAGCTCCATGGTTTCCTTCAATCCCTCGGCCTAAGTAATTGGAGGTTTTCCTATATGTTGGGTATGAGGCCTTTCATGAAAATTTCCTGTAACACGGCCTCCAAAAATTCCCCTCAACAGCGACTCAAACCTTTCCTTGTACTCCATGAAGACCCCCTCCTCTATCAAGGCAAGGAATTTCTTGTGCAGGTCTCCTTCCCGAATGGTTTAGAAACGTTCTAACAATCAATCCATAAACTCCTCCCAGAGCAGATTGAGTATCCAGCCTCCCTCCACTAGAACCAAGCAAGGGTTTTCCTCTCCAAACATAGCCCTACGGCTGTAAGCTTCTCCTTGTCTCTCAACCAATTCAATGTGAAATACCTCTCCACTCAGTATACCCACCCATGGGCATCCTCCCCTTCAAATATCGACATCTTCAACTTCCTTACTCTAGGATCATCATTACCCCAATAGCTTCTTCCTCTTCCAGTGTAACGATTGTCGTGATCCCTTTATGTTTCCTCTGTATATCGAGGGTGGAATCCTGGGTGGAAATCCCACCTTTCTTCCACCCTCCTTGCCTGACTCAATCCCCATGGCTTAATTCGACCCCCTTCATCTCCAGTTGCCCACTCTCCTTGCCCAACATGCCTCCCATAGAGGTCAACCTATAACGACCCACAATACTCCTGAGCAGCGTTGTAGTGTAACAAATAAAACATAGCATTTTTCATCTTATAACCATTTGAAATAATCCATCATCTGCATGTTTACATATAAATATATCATAAACCTCAACGGAAGCACTCTAAAAGTTTTAAACATCCATAAAATATGTTACAGAGCCACTAAGGAAAATCCAAACAAACACTTCATTGGAATTTTAACATACCTTTAGTTTAGTTTTACAAACATAAATAAAATTAACATCTAGGATTTAAATATTTGAACCTAGTCAGCAACCACTTTTTCTGTAACAACAACCAGTAATGAAAATAATGGTGAGCTATAAGGCTCAGTAAGTTATGCAACTGAAAATAGTATTAAACTTGCATGTTAAAAATTTAGAACAATAAAACATGAATAAAAATTTAACTACTAGAGAAACTACAAAACATCTCATTTGGCATTACCTTTAACTGTTATTTTAGATCCATACTGAATATCAATTTTTCTCATTAAAATATTTGGTTATTCTTTCATAAACAAATTTAATGGAGCCCAGGAAAACCTGGCCTTATCGCCATTGAATTCCATAGAGGTCCATTTTACCTCTTTAGGGGTCTCTTTTGCCCCACCTGCTATGCAGGTATCATTTCTTTTGGGGTTCATTTTGCCCCACTTAAAGGTAGTTACATATTTGGGAACTCTTTTGTCCCAACTATCCTTGTAAATCATACATAATATATATAGCCAAATTTTATGTTAAATTGATATTCAATATACTTTTATGATATAACTCATACTTGTATTATTGCTTTCATAAAGATCTTTATATGCAACTGTGTATCATATGTTAAGAATGGAGATTCTTTTCAAAATATTTCCAACTAATAAAATCTTTAATAAAACATAACAACTCTTATTTGGAAGTCTCATGATTCAAATATATAAGAGGTCTTTCATATATGGAACCAAGTTAGGAATATCCTTTAGCATGAGAATTACTTGTAATGCATCTTTCTCTTGCATTCATTCAAATGCCAATATACAATGTAAAATTAACAATAATTACATTTAAAACTTTAATTTGCATTAGTTACCTCCTTGCCAAGTTGTCTCTTCCAATTCCTTTCTACGGACTCTTCTACGATTGTAAGTCACTCCAAAACGTTCTCTTTGCATGTATGTGTCTGATAATTCCTAACCTTACAATTGTATACTCTTAGAACTTTTATCATTTCTTTCAAGGAATATAAAAGGAAATGAAAATATACCAAGAATTCTTACCTAACTTCTCTCTTAACCTTCCTTCACTGATTCCTCAATTAGTTTGCACCTTCCATCACTATAATTCATCACAAAATCCTATATTAATTACATCCAAATCTTAGTAAATTTTGTTACATCTAATTGCAAGTTTACTTACCTAAATTTTGTATTTCACATAATCTTCTTCCCACACACTTCACTGCACAGCAAAATGAATTGCACTATTTTCACTGAATTTCCTTCCAGTCAACTGTGGCCAAAAACCTCCCTCCACAGCAGCCGAACTATACAAAAAAGAACCGAAATTCTCAGGAAAACTGTTTTGAATATAGTAATATTGCATTATGCACTATGCCAAACTTACCTGTACACTTCCGATTCCAATACAGGAAGTTTTTCTATGCGGCTCAATGCAAAAATTCTTCAGAATGGATTACTGTACCATCCACTACCACAAAGCCATATTGAATCTACAGTTCTCCACCCGGTTTCCTCTATTGCATTCAATGAAAACTGCTGCTTGCGTAACCATTCCTCATGCAGAAGACTTCAAAATACCAAAAGGAATGAGTGAGGCCCACCATTGAACTGATTTTTAATCAATTCCTGTAAGCACCCATTCGGCTAATGAAGTGTACAATTTGGATTGTTTGCTGTATGCATGCTTTCCAAATCAGATAAGGAATAATAGAGTGGGATCCACCATGATAACTGATTTCAAAACTTTCCATTCAATAAAAGCATCTATTCGTAATGAGTAACTTATCTAATAGTGATTAATTAATAACTGCTATGATAAAAATAATTCAAATAAAAAGCAGTTTCTCTTACCTAGATTTCAGGATATTACACAGCCACCCCACCTCTTCCATCAAAAAATTTTCTCATTATTGTCCCCCCATTTGAAAACCCTATTCCGCCCTTCATCGAAGCCTTAGGCGGTTGCTCTTAATGGAAGAAATTCACTTCTTTGAACTCTTCTCACTTGATCTCTTTTCCCTTAGATTTGGCTAAGGGAATCCTAGTTAAATCGTGGTTAGGGTTAGCAATCAAAACTGACGGTGGAGTTTTGGATTGCATCTCAATTAGCTTCTTCATCATCTCCTCCAACCCCCCAAATCGTCTCTCCACTCGATTCTCCATTGTTGAAAATCTTCCTCCGAATGCTAAGAATTTCTTCCCTGGATTTCAATTGCTCCATTTCGACTTTCAACCCATCCATTTTCTTTGTTGCCATTGTCTCCAAAAAAACCTCGCCTTAATATCAATTTGATGCGTTTTGGAAGTAAAAACAGCAAGGTAACAAGTAGAAAACTATAGGAATTTGAAGATAAGGGCTAATTTTGATTACTTCAATAATAATGAAAGATACAATTGATCTACTATTCGAGAGGTTCACAAATCCTAGACGCAGCTAGGAACATCTCCTAATGAAAACTACAACAAACATAAATCCCATCATGTTGAAAATGCAGCATGGAGAATTCAATTTAGATCTCTTTCCCTAAATAAAACCTTCCTAATTCCCTCTCAAATCTGAATTCAAATGTGCCCCTTTTTCCTAATTATTTCTCCCATGGTATCTCCTCTTACATAGTGAATATTAACTTCCCCTGGCCCCACAAGCCCCCAGGCGTATCAGATACATTTGTGCAGTTGGGCCGCTCTTTTTCATTTCTCTAACCTTCTTTCCATCATGTCATCCCATTGGGCTCAGGTGCTTATGCATGGGAGTGCCAAACATCTCATTTCTCTCTTAGTCACAGCCGTAAGAGATTTGTGTGCCCTTGATCCGTATGGATGTTTGAAGAGCTAGATAGAAATGAATGCATATGTATCAACGCTAAAACTTGGCAACTGCACTCCTATGCTGAAATATAAATAGTGATTTATGCAAAAAAGTGCTTTGGAGAAAGGAATACATACACCTTCCACTTCACTAAATCCCCAACTCCGTATACTTCTTTCTCTCTTGGAAGTCTTACTGGATTCCAAAAATGGTAATTGAATAGCTAGGGTTAATACAATGGTTTTCAGGGTGATGAAAAGAAGGAACTAAATCAAGTTGTGGATGGACTGTTGACTGATATGGTGGGATAATTGAATAATTGCAGACAAAGATGAAAATTATTATGAAGGAAGAAGACTCTTAGTAGCTTGATAGGTTTCTTTAAACTACCTAGTTCTGGGTTTAAAGCACATTTAATTTGTGTTTGAATTACCAGCTTTGAAAAAGAAGAAGGTGAGAATAGCAAGCTGTAAAATCTGAATAGTTAAGCTATTGAATTATGAGAAAAAGCTCAAAATGCTCCCCCAACTATTCATATGAGGTTAATTTATTCATGGAGTGTTCTATTTCTTTAATTTAGTCCCTCGACTATGCAAAATTAATCTCAATTTAATCTCGATGGATCATTTTGGATTAATTTTGTTTAGTAGAAGACTAGATTTGGATGAAATTGGCTATACATGAATAATCGGCGGATTATTTTTGATACCAAAGAGCTATTCATCAATATCAAGAATTGGATATTATTAAATTTGAAATTTTCATAACAGCTACTATTAAATCCCAGCCATCTCTTGACATTTTGATCCCACAGATAGGATGAGAATCTGTGGGAGGCTCACCTATTAAATCCTAGCCGTCCTTTGGCATTTTGATCCCACGGCTAAGATGAGAATCCCTGGGAGGCTCACCTGGATCTTGCTGGTCTCCTTCCATATTTAGATGGTTGATTTAGCAAGGATTGTATTAGAGAAATTATGCATTATTCTTGTAAAATTTTCGGAGATGTTTCCGGCCAAATATTTCCGCCAGAGTAAAAGCTCCGGAAAATCACATTTTCTGCAGGAGGTAACACGTGATTTTCCTGTAGTGAAGATATCCTAATTAAAATTTAATCACGATGAGTTTCAAGTCATTAGATCTATTTTGAGATAAGTGCAATATATGATTCATCAATCAACTCTTGTATTATATTCATCTCAAAGCAAATTCAATACATTAAAACTCATCTTTGTTCAATTTTTTTTTTCATTTATATGTATAATTTGGATTTTTTTTTCTGCTATAAGATGACTTAGCTGTTAACATGGAAGTTTCTTGTGTCCCTTTCAGCTGATTTCTTTGTCTGAGAAGAGATGGTGATGGCTATGGTGCTCTTCTTTCTTCCATTAATCTTTGATCCAACAACAACAAAGTTTCTATCCAGAAATATATTTTAGAGGAAGGCGACCACTCTGTGATGGAAAAAGGGCTGTCAGATTATCACAATCAATGTGTTCTGATACCAAAACATTGCCTGTAGCTCTGTTACCTAAGACTGAATGAAGCAAAATAACAGAGCTGCTGCGTTGTAAAATGTGAAGAGTAGGGAGAATGTAGGCTTCTTTTGCTGGAAATAAGGCAATCATTTACATTACAGTAGTGGGTTCCAATCCAGTGTTTTTTTTTTTTTTAAATCATTTGGGTTATAATGAGAATTTAATCATTTGCTATTTGCCCCATTTCCTGTCTTGTAAGTAATTTTGTTAGCTCAAATATTATTATTAGTTTTCCTCTTTTTTTTTTTACTTTTTGTGCCACATGGACATGTGCAGTGCAAAGCTTTTTTTTTTTAAATATTTATATATTATTTTATTATCAAAATTATATTGAGAAAAATTTGTATATTTATTTTTATAACATTCAAATCTCTAAACCGTATAAGAAAATTATTAATATCAACTTATTTAGGTTTAGTTTTGGACTTTGTTTTATTTTTTAAGATTACTTTTATTATAAAAAATTTTTTAACTTCAAATTATTATACCAAAAAAATTGATTTACCTCTCAAAAAATCCAACAAAAAATATGCTACACATTCCAAAAAATGTCAAAATCTTCCTTCCTTAATAGCTGGTCCCACCAGTCTTTGCCATTTCCTCAACATAACCAAAACTTCTATTTGACATAAACTTTATTAATAGTCAAAATTCTGAACCAACCAATTAAAATGAGTTCCGTCAATATCTCAATAGAACACAACAACCTCACACTTTCAATCAGCTAATCTACTGGGAAAAAAATTCAGCTCGAGTAGCTCGAAGAACTGAAATATTCAATTTAAATTGGGATAATAAACACCTTATTCTTCAACTCTGCCAGTCTTCTATCACTTAATTTACGCATATAAATATCATTTGTACAATCGACTCGCAAAACACTTCATCATTTAACTTAATCAGACATTATAAGGAAGAATAAACAACATATCTCTATCTTGATTAAGATTGTGCTATAATCCGTTACCCGGAAGACCTTTTCAATAGATGAATAATTTTGTACGGATGCCGAACGTCATCCAAAGCCCAATTAAAATGCGCCACATCACCCCCATACACGGTACCGCGGCTCAGTATTGCTAAGTACTAGATGACCTGACTATACCTGATTAGATGACCTGACTGTACCTGATTCGCTTCTAAACGATAAGCTGTGTCCAGTGTCCGCACGGAATAATCTCTCTTTTTAATAATGGAGGAGCCATAACCGATGGTACCAACTTCAATAATTTTCTTTTGGTATTATCTCCCAGTGACACTGCCTTCATCCTCGGCATTCCAGCAGCATCAATGACAGGCCATAATAAGCTCGTCAGCCCAACCAAAGCAAAAATCTGTTCACCCATGGCATTACTTACAACAGCAACTGCTGAAGAAGAGAAGAAGCTTGCATGTCAACAAAGCTTTGAAGCACACAAAAGCATCTTCAGCATCTCATCACCTTCAGAACAGAAGCTTGTCTGTAGATAAATCTTCAGCAACTTCAGCTATCTAGAACTCAACCACCACACTATGAACATTCTTATCACCTACAGGCATGCTCTGTAACTGCAATGTTACGAGACCGGTCGAGGCGTCATAGGCAAAGTTGATGGTTTCGGCCCCAATCAAACATCTCTTTGGTTCAGCTGAAGAGTAAGCTCCCATTCTTCCGCAGCCCTTCACTTCCATGCAAACCCTCCCTATATCATAGTTTCTGCTCTCAGCTTGCAGCGTAGGAGCCTCATTTGGCTGACATATAAAGCTGGAATCCAGCTCCAACAACTTGGCAACCTCATATTTTAGCCCATCAATTGCACCACCAGTATTGAACATGTCCAACAGGCCTAGAGGAGCAAACCTGAATCCGGGCGCCAAAACCTGCATTTTAAAAGAAAGTCAAGAACGGCAGTTCAATCTGAAACCATCAGGAAACACAACAACTGAAGTGCAGAACAACGACGAACCCTTATGGGCGAGATGGTGAAGATTTCATGCTCGAGAACATTCAGCGTGATGGGCATCACCGCATTCCATGGAAGTATAATGAGCTCTCCCTTACTAAGACGGTAGACTGCGCAATCGCCATTCCAGTTCGTCTCGGTAGCAGCTTCTGAAATGAGATGGACATCACTCACCCTGATGTCGGAAGTTAATGCCGCCGCCGAGTTTGTGGAGTGGAATATATTCTTCTTCGCAGTAGAGCACCAGGCGGCGCCTTGGCAGTTGAAGACTCCAAGCACACCAGTGAATTTGTTCATGTTCCAGATCTTCAGCAGGCTTACTCCGTCACGAGCTGGGTCTGTAAAGAGGCAGTCCACGGTGGGGCGGCCGGGCAGCTGTGCCCGGAGGATGGATCCATCAGGCAGCACCAATTTCCTCAGCAGCTCAAAGTTGTGCTTCCCAGGGGCATCACTGCTCCATTGCAATCAAGTTTAGCACCATTCAAGTAAGCCTAGAATAAACAGTTCTTGCATGCAATGGTTTTCATTTCAGTTTCAATTTCTAATTCACATTTGCTTAAATGAATAAACTATGAATTGAGAATTATCATTGTAAATCTAAATTTCAAAAAGGAATTTCTAGGATATTAGTAGAAGAATTGTAAATACTTCAACAAGGAAAATAAACACAATCATTATATGAAGCAAAATAGCAAATTCAATCACATTTGCTCGGAAGTCGGAACTAAATAAAGTATAATAACTAAAAAGCCCTTTGACGCAGGAGCTATGCTTGCAACCCATTTCGGGTTATGTTATAAACTTCAGTTATATGTAATATTCTTGTATTCGTTTCTTGCCGTTGGTGTAGCCAATCTTGTGGCCCAAATTGTGTATAAATAAGTGATTAGTGAATAATAGAGGAGGATGGAATAGATTTGATTTGAGTTTAGTTGTCTTTTCTATATCCTAAACTTCTTTTAGGTGGTGATTTCTTCCAAGAAGTTTTTGGATCTGTGCTTGGACACTGCCATCAGATCATCGACATGAATTAGTGGCTTCTGGTCCGGTGTCATCCTTATTTTATAAATTTAAATTTATTATCAGTGAGAAGCCAAAAAAAAAAAAAAAAAACATTTTTAATACCAATACTTTCATTTGCATCAAAATTTCACCCAAAATCCTAGCTCCTAAGCACTCACCTAACATAAACTGGGCCGCCACTGATAGCACGAGCCGATGCGTGGTACTCGCCGGCCGGATGAAGGGAGTGGAACATGTCCCAGTCGGGAACCATGAACTCCCCTAAGAAAACGTTATTAAATGCCACAGACGCAATGTGAATTGTATGCGACATCGAATCCCTCGGATAGAAATCATCCGAAGCTCTCACCACAGCTGTTTGCTTCGCACTGGCAAATCATCAAACACGAAGTTTATATCACAAAACAGCCTCGAAGCAAAATCCAAACTTGAAAAAAGAGAGAGAAGATTAAAACAAACCAGTAGAGAGCGTCCGTGTGATGGCACATGCAGGCAATGCATCCATTATCAGGAAAATTCTTCGCAACCGATGCGTCGAGCGCATCGTGGTACTGTCTCGCAAGCTGCACACGACCACCATGTCCGGTGCCAAGCGTTTCCAGGATGGACTGCACATCCACCTTGACACCATCGATGCCGACGGTGGCGAGGTAGCTGTGTAGCTCGTTGTAGAACTTATGAACGCTCTTGGGGTTTATTAGCCCGAGGCCTTGCAGGGTGAGTATATCCGTTTTCATCCATGGCTCGTTCTCTGCAACTCCGGGTGAGATGTTCGGGTACTGTATAGTTGATTCAAACTCCGCCATTTCTTCCGACCCCGGCTGAACTCCGCCCCAATATCCGGTGATTGCGTGCCATACATAAACGAATTTCAGCCCATACTTCTCCTTCGCCGTGGAAACCATGGATTTCATACTCTGGAACTTGCCATTCTCTTTAATCCCGATCAGGCGGGGCAACGAGTTTTGCTTCGGCGAGGCTGTATCTGATTCAACCGATTGCCAGCCGTCGTCAATGATGACGAATTTTGGCGGCGCGCCGCCGGAGATGAGACTTTGAAGGCCGGCCTCCACGCCAGATTGAGTGACATCCTGGTAGAAGGCGTCCCAAGTGCACCATCCGAAGAAATCGACGATCGCCGGAATCTGCTTTTCCTCACGAAGGCGGAAGGTTTGGAGATGGGATTTAACGGCGCGGACGGCCCCGGTAATGGCGGCGAAGGGGTCCGAGGCGGCTGTGCCAACAAAGACAACGTGGGAGAAGGCGGCGGAGCGGATATCAGCATCGCCACTTTCGATGCATACGTCCAAGCAATCGTTAGAGTTTCCTTGAAGGGAAGCTCGGAAGGAGCCTTCGAGGATGGGAAGGAAGACGGAGTACAGTGTTTCCGTGTCTTGGTTCTCCGGCTTGCTCTCCACAAGCAGGAATTGGGTTTCGAAGGGAATTTCTGCTCCCCTATTTCCCATCTTCTGCGCCATCCACCATAGCTTGAAGCGGAAACACGCCATGAATCTCGCTTCCCTGACTCCATTACAAAATTCAGTGCCAAAATAACAATAAGTCCAAAGTAAAAAAAGAACAGTTTGGTTTCAAAGTAGGATTTAATAAATTCAAATTTAGTAAATCATCAGAGGATTAAAATTTAAACTATTTGACTATTTATTCAGATTTTAATTGTCTTGCGAGAAGTTTGCTTTAAATTCACTAAATTTTCTGATAAAAAATAGAATTTAAAAACTTCAAAACTCTGTTCAACAGGATTTAAGTTTAATCTTGCTTAAATTCAGCCGAAAATAGGATACCAAACAGCCTTCTTAAAATTAAATATGATCGTTTGGCTCAATGAACTCATTCTTTAAACAAATGAAGTGAGCTTGATTGAAGATTTTTTTTTTTTTTTTTTTACATTTAATAAACGAACTAAAAATAAGTCTGACTATTTTGATGTCATTAAGAAGTGAATTAATAGGAAATATTCTTTTAGCTACTTAACAAACCTAAGCTCGTTCCCATCAACAAAATCGACCAAATCTGAAACGCCCAAATGAGCAAATTGAGGGGAAAGCCAAAGAAGCGGAACCTGAGGATTCCGAGAGAGACGACATGGCGGGAGCTGAGATCAGAGACTTGGGCTCCAAGAAAGAAGCCTTGGACGGGACCGGAACTAACAACAGAGCTTAAAATCACATTTCCCGGCACGGAGGACAGGATGGTGCGGCCTCTTACCACCAGGTTCCTCTCCGAAACCCTAGCAGAAGATGAGATCACCATCGGATCTTCTTCGGCTTTCTCGGAGTTGAAGTAACCGCGAATTACCAATCGCTTCTGAATCAAGGCAATAGTAAAATCAGCGCGTTGAGAAAAGCGCAGCGGAAGTGGGATCGACGAATTCTTACCTTGGAGAACGGCTGGGAGGAGATCGGCGGTTTAGGAGGGAGGGGGAGGAGGCAAGTGAGGGGATATATAGCGGGGGGAAGAAGAGAGGAGGTGGAGGGAGAGCAGAAAGCTATGGCGGTTCTCATTGCAGGATCTGTCTGTAGCGGGTGGTGGTGAAAAATGGCGATGGGTGGGGTAAGAGAGAGAGACAGAGAGAGAAAGGGTGTTTGGAAAGATTGAAAAGTGCGTTTGGGACAGCAAGGAGGATTATGGGATCTACAGTATTCTGTCAGTTAGTAGACCGTGTCAGATCCACGTCAGCCTGTTTACTAAACCGGTCCGTTTCGAATGAGGAAGCGTGGTTCATATTGGCTCGCCGGTTTAATTTTGACGTAAAAAATCTTAGATATTAATATATTATATGAAGGAGATAGAAGAATAATATAAATTTTATTTTAGTTTTTAATTTTTATTTTTGGATTTTGAGTCAATCAAAATAAATTCAACCGTGGCTCATTTTAATCTGTTAGTTGAGAACTTCAAGAACTAATTAAAATATTTTATATTCAAATCTTACCTATGTTGTGTGTGTGCTAATTTTGTCTAAATATTAAAAAAAAGGTAAAAACACACGTCACATATGTAAGAAATTATTACGTGTAGAGTCCGGACATAGCTCTACGTCTAAACTCCTTGAACGAGAAAATAGCACCTAACATTGTTTGAAGATGATGAAATTAAGGAGATAAAAGAATGCCTAGATGAGGTCTAAGCTTGTTCGAACATGAATAAATCGACTCCAATGCTTGTTGGTAGGGGTGTCAATATTGGACCCGACCCTAACCATACCCAAAAAATTGGGGTTTGGGTTGACCCAAACTTGAAATGGGTCAAGTTTAGGTTGACTCGAAACGGGTCGAGTTCGTATTCAACAATTTGACATGTTTCAAAAATTAAGTCAGGTTCGAGTTAACCCGTTGAACCGAAATTGACCCGAAAATGGCCCGTTTTACTCGAAAACCGTTTTGATCTGGTAACCAGGGATTGACCCTTTTTTTACCCGAAAAGCAGAGTTTGACCCGTTTTTGGACCCGAAAACTAACATTTTTTTCTCCGACCCGGGTCATCCGGGTCGGGTTGACCCAAACCTGAAGTGGGTCAGGTTCGGGTCCGAAAAACATACCCGTTTGTAGAAACGGGTCGGGTTCAGATAGACCCGAATAGTGTCGGGTCAATTTTGGGTTCGACTCAAATCCGACCCGTGACCCGAAATTAACACTCATACTTTGTTGGAAGATGAAAGGAAAACCGTCTCCGTAACTTTTGATCTACCGCAAATCTGAAGTTTTCACCTCTGGATCAGGCCGGGTCGTCGGGCCACAAGTTTTAAAAAATATATATTAAAAATTCACATGTCATGATTTTATTAAAATTTATACGCATAATTACTTCTTCACATATGTAAGCTTCAAATTCATGAGCTTTTGATTGACAACCGCATCTTCTAAACAACATATTAAAATGAGTTGTATAAAAATAAATATTGTTTGAATGAGCATCGAACTTTTTCAAATTATTATAATAAAAAATAAATAAAAGTAGCGAAAACCCACAAAATTCTTCGAATAAGAAATTGATCGGCATTGCTTAATAATACATCAATAACGAAAATATATTATTATATCAAAAGTGGAGGTGCGGGGAATCGAACCCCGTGCCTCTCGCATGCGAAGCGAGCGCTCTACCATATGAGCTACACCCCCAATTCAATAGATTGTGAATAAAATATTTTAATATTTCATTGGCGTTTGAAGTGAATATTTTATAAATATAAACATTTAAATATAGGAGACATGGTTCTAATTTAAAATATTAGAGGTCTTTACATAGTGAACTTTTATTACGTCCTCTGACCATACGTTGCTCTACGTTCCGTCAGAGGATTGTTACTCAATTTTTGCTCGGTATTTGGTCGGTATTGTTAGGTATTGTTTGGTAATAACGAGGAATACTGCTCTGCGAAGAGCAATACCGAGTAATCCCAAAAAATACCGAGTTTTCCTAGAAAAAATTGGGTATTTTTTGGGATTACTCTGTATTTTGTCTTCACATAATGGTATTTCTCGTTATTGTTGGTATTGCTCGGTATTTGCTCGGTATTTCTCGTTTTGTGCTACGATCTTAGTGCCGGCCGAACGTAGCTCTACGTACGTTCACCGGACCAAATAAAAGTTCTTACATAGTAGTTATACTTAAAATTATAATATTTATATATTTAATATCTATTATTTTCTATTTACGCACATAATATTTTTTAAAGTAATGTTAAAAAATATTATTTTCGCCCTCTTTTTTATAATTCTCTCAACTACAACTCATCTCTTTATCTTTCACACGTCGATGGTGGAGCATGAAATTTTTATAGCGATTGAGGCTGACATTGGCGGTTTTTTTTTCTGTTGAGTTTATTATTTTTAAAAGATAAAATATTAAATGGGGACTTAATATCTTTAGTTAGCTGGGTAAGTTTGTTTATCTAAAACATAGGAGAAGCATAATTTTTATGAAATATTAGAATAACTTTCTTATTATTTTTTAAAATAATATTTTACTATAAAAAATTATCGTTCAAAAATTTTTTATACAAAAAAATATTTTTAAAAGTAAAACCCAAATGATCCTAAACAAAATCTAAGACTTTATTTGGTACAACTTTAGACATATTTTTTCAGTGATATAAAAAAAAATTATACTAAAAAATAAACATACCGTCTCAAACGAAGCCTAAGGCTTTATTTGTAATAATTTTCTTACTATTTTTTAAAACAATTTTTAAAACTTTAACTTTCATACTAAAAGTTTATTTTAAAAAGTAATAAAAAAACATCCCAAATAAAACCTATCTATTAGAAACAGCTCACATTCATTCTTATTTTCTTGTTGCTTTTTCAATGTTTTTAAAAATAACATGATTAGAATTACTTTTATAATCAAAATAATTAAGCTGATTTTCTTATATTAACTTTAAAATCAATTATGAAAAATTATAACCATCCTAAAAAGACATAATTTTATAAACATTTTTTTAATAAAAAAAGACCAACAATGTTAAAAATGTTAGATTATTCTGCACGGACACTAGATAGTTTGAAGACCAATCAGAATATGCCACGTCACTCAATACATAACGATATCAAATAAAAAAAAATTATGATATGTTCTGATTGATCGCCAAACACCGTCCGATATCCGCACAAATAATTTTTCCTAAGAATGGGCCCCAAAAAACAATTGAAAAAAAAAGGAAAGTTATTCGGAGCAGGAAAGAAAAATTATAGAAGGTACATCGAATATTTGAAGCTCTATATAATTCTGTGCAATGCGACGCATCATACTGCTGTACATGAAGCCACATGATGTTGTACTATCCATCACGATGTTCCTGTACAGCAATTCTATATTAAAAAAACAATAATGATAAAATATCACAGAATCAAATGCAAATAATATCCAGCATATATGAAATGTGTGGCTACTGTCAGAACAAACTGGAATTATCATTATCATTATGAACTTTTCTGCTTCATTGATGATGAGCTTTGCTTACCACTTGCTGTAACCATATAGGACACAGGGCAGGGCAAGAATTTTAAGATTTCGTTTGAGATATCTTTCTTTCTATTTTTTAAAGTAATTTTTTAATATAATTTTCTTTTTTTTACTAAAAAGTTGATTTAAACAGTAAAAAAAGTTGTCCCAAACAAAACAGTAACCGCCTTCTTCCTAATCTCTACTATTTTGTATCAGTGAAAGCTGCGATGAGATCTGAATTAGCTTTCTGGAGTGCGTCGAGCAAATTCTCGGGCTTCTTTCCACCAGCCTGGGCAAAGTTAGGCCGGCCACCACCACCGCCACCGCATATCTTAGCTAGGCTTCCTATGAACTTCCCAGCCTGAAGTCCCATACCAATAACACCGGGACTGAAAGCTGCAACCAAGCTCACCTTCCCTTCACCTGGGCAAGATCCCAAAACTACAGCTGCAGGATCTTGCAGGGAGTCAATTAAGTACTCTGCTGCACTCTTCAGTGAATCAGAGTCAATGTCACCCATGCTTTCAACGATAAATCTGAGAAACATTCTTACTCGATTCAATTATATCAAGTAAAAGGAAAAAAAATGTTAGAAATTTGGATTACAGCAATTCAGGATCACCTGATATTAGAAGTTCCGACAGTGACGGCCTTGTCCTTGACAGTAGAAGCTTTCATAATGGCCATTTTGTTTCGGAGTATCAAAACCTCGTTCCTAGACATTCTTAGCTCATCCAAGATGTTATCTACTCGAGTGGCCACATCTTCAGCTCTTACCTAGGAAAGAAGCAAGTAAGGTGGATGAGAATTCAAGAGAGAAACTGAAGGAATTGGTTGTAACTAAAAAACAGGGAGCTATGGGAAAGAATCTTAAATGCCTATCATTTTACTTCCAATTAATGAAATGAATAACCAGATTAAATTACAATATTGATGGAAGATATCAATCTTTTAGATGGAGAAAAAAATGTAACAAATACATCTCATCCGTGAAATTATTAGGTTCGGACACCGGACAAAGCGAAGCATCCGGATTTCTCTCTGTTTACAGTAAAATCGCAGTTACTGTAGCAGATGCGTTTTGACTATAGACAGAGAGAAATCTGGATGATTCTCTCTGTCCCGTGTCCGCAACTAATAATTTGCGGATGTGCAGATTCAGCGAGAACAAATGACCCCAATGGATCTAATGATCACATACTTTTAACATGGAACAGAGATTTTTCAAGTGAGTATCACGGCCATTAACGTATTCAATAAAAGCTTCACCAGCAACGGCTTCAATGCGCCTGATTCCAGAAGCAATGCCCTGCTCTGAAATTATTTTAAAGCCACGGATTTCGGAGGTGTTGGTAACATGTGTTCCACCACAGAGTTCCATTGACACTCCAGGGACTTCTACTACTCTGACCTACAAAGCAATACCAAGTAAATCCTCAGAGAAGAGATATCACCACCTGAATCACGCTGGAATAGAAAACAAGCTCTTAAACAAATAGTAGATTTGACATACTAAAATAAATAAATAATGCAAAGCTTAAAAAAAAAAAAAAAGAATGATGGAAATGTTATTGTTCTTAGCAGAAGCGTGACAAAAGTAGAACAAACTCTAGGCCATCATAGCAACACTATATAGTAATCTTTAGGTAACATCCAGGGATAACTAGATGTGATCTCTCTCTCTCTCCCCCTCTTCTTATATATATATATATTTAAAATGAGATTTAAACAAATTTCATAGTCTAGTCGCTACACTGCATCTGTTCAGACCGAATTTAACAGCCATATCAAGTCCATAATCATTTAATATCCAAATCAAATCCATTATTTATATTCGTCCAACATATCTAACATTCCATTAAATTCTTCTTTGTTTATTCAAGTTACAAATTTAACAAACAATTCCATATAAAAATAAAATTCATTGTGTAAATTTCCAAATGCCAATCCTCGTGCATCAAATCCTTTTGGTCTTCAACACCCAGAAAGACCAGTTATTAATTTCTCTACCTTTTCATCTCTCTCTATTATCTTTCTATATGCTACAATGGTTTTTATCATTTTAGCCATCATATAAACCGAAGCTTGACAATATACAATTACATAATCTCACCGTGCATGCATATTCCAAATATAATTAAATTATATTCAGATGCACTCTCTCTCTCTCTCTCTACACACACACACACACATTTCGAAAGTAAAGAATAATAGAAGTGAGAAAAAATGGAGTGCCACAGTAAGGCATTATTTTTAAATAGTATTTTCACTATTTTTAAATTTAGATTTTATAACACAAAGGAAAATATCATATCCCTAGGGCAGCAGATTGAGTCTAGTAAAACATCTATCAACCAAATTCTGCAAGTAAACTACAATTCTTTTGAGAACATTCTAAAAGGATAGCTAAGGTATTATAACATATACCAAATTCAACGAGGAACTCAACTTCTCAATCAAGTAGCAACTTCACTAAATCATTAAGGAGTGCATGAATAAATTCATTCACCACAGGAAGCTCTTCAAACTTCAATCGATGGACCTATAACATCAGAGTTGAATGAATGGCTAGCATAAGAATCAAACAAGATTCTAGCCATTTGCATAGAAATAAAGGTTGTACTTATAATAACATTAACTGCATTATTTGCGTCTTGCTAAGTCAATGCATGCATTTTGGCTTGAATGGTTGGCTAACTCTTTGAGTCGTGGGCTTTGCTTCAATTATTCTTTCTCCACCTGTACTCAAAGATTTTATTGCAACTCCTTGAAGGATTGGTTCTCTGCTTCCAACCCTACAAACGGCCTACATTTTGGGAATATCATTTCTTAATATTCTCCTGATAGACAATCTTTCAATCTATGCACAAATTTGAAATATTACATTACTACCCAAGGCTCAAATAGTATTTTCATTAGTGACTTCTCCCATACTCAAAGCACATCTTAAGATTGCCACTAATAGATAATAGGCTCATCTTCAAATCTCCATGCACCAAACTTCAACTTTATGCCACAAAAATTTCCCTTAGGCAGCCACCACCCATCTTCTTCTTTCTGTCTCCAATTTGTGCTACATAATATTCATGTCATTCTCGATTAGCCTAGCATTCTACCAACACAGACTTTTTTTATGCTAAATGATACCAATGATTGCCACAAGCTATCTTGCAACCCTCTGAAAAACCAATAGCATTTATACTTGAGAGAGTTAATCAACTAAAGTATTTACCTCACTAATATTATGAACTTGACCTCACACTATATCACTATCTTTCTTCCTAGCACCAACCTCCAAAAGATTTTGAATTTGCTACCTTGCTAATGATAGAACAAACCAGTCTCGAGAGACTCCCACAAACTCGTAAGATATTATAGAGTTTAATCACCTTTGGAAATTTTCCTCCTATGATTCTCAACCGCCAAAGCTCCAACTCGTCCTTAAATATTACACTATCAATGGCATTTTTCAATCTTCAGGGCATTTCATACCATCAATTATATTATCAATTCACTGCAACATATCCTCATCCACCTATGGCTCTATAATCCTTTAAATAGGAGCAAATTCAGGCTCTCAAATAACTTCAAGTAATTATCCACTTCTTATTTGCTATCACTCACTCTGCTCTTGGCATCACCCATCAATTGCATTACCAAAAATGTGAATTACATCATTGAATATGAATTCATGGCACCAATACTATTTCAAACCGGCACACTTTTTGTTTCCTTTGGGCAGTATCATTTTATGGTTCACTCTCTAATAAATGCCTTCCAAATAAGCATCCCTAAATCTCAGGTTTTTAATGCTCTAGAGTCTATCAATATGTGGTAGAGTGCTATATTATTCACAATATTGTAACATACAATGGATAATTATGCTCAGTAGTTCCTAAAAGCAAGTCATCTATGAATGGCACCTCTTATAGTCTTTCTTTTCCAATGCCAATGGAGTGATTTGTTGCTTGATTTAAATCTTACCCCCTTTAATGACATAAATAAAAAAAATATATATATATATCACCCAACTAAATCTCCGAAGGATCCCTGAGAATCCCCTTCTTGACGCAGATCAGTAACGTTAAGTAGAAAGATTGGAAACAAGCATTCATCACCTCCCATGTAATCATACCTTTAATCAACTGAAAATAATCATCATATAGTTCTTTGTCTTTACTATAAACTGATGCAGTGCATGATAAGTCCAACAAACATTCCGTTATGTGGCAGTCCCACCTCCACCTTTACCTATTCGGTTATCAATAATACTATTACCCCTTTTTTATTAGTTAGGCTACTTTTAGCAATATATGATAGTTGATACTAGAAAATAGTGGAAATTATATAAGCCACAGGAAAAAGTAGTACAGCAGGTTTTTGTTAACATTTTCTTCTTCTTCAATAGAAGTTTTATCAGGGTGCGGTGCCGCCTAAGTCTTTTCCTGTTTCATTATTCTGTCTCCGTTTCAAGTTCTTCTTGCAGGTGGTTCTCCTACTGTTGCCGATCTTGGGGTACATTAGGGTGGTATCAAAACCGATTCGGTAGGATGACAGACAAAGGCAAGGAACTGGCTGCAGACGAAGCTCTGAGCCTCAAACGTTGTGGACGAGCCAGGCCAATATCATACGACAGTTAGAAGCATTGTCGGCAGATGTATAGCGCCTCTCTATCGAAGTGGTGTCGCGAGTTCAATCTCAACCGTGCAAGGAATGCACCCCATCAGCTACGTCGAGAGCCAGCACCGGCCATGGTTCCTGGGGGGCAATGTGGTATGGACCTTGACCGGAATGGGCGCCGAAATCCCCAACCCGCACAAGATTTTTCAGATTCTGAGGACAAATCGCAAATGCCACGAGATTTTGATCTGGTGGAATCAAAGGAGGAAGGAATGGGTCATGTTGCAGGTAACCACAGACATCAACGACACCCTGCTCACTACGGGGGTCATTCCGAATTCAAAGTTAAGATTGATATTCCTTTTTTGATGGACATTTACACATAGAGGACTACTTGGATTGGGAAAAGGCCGTTGAGAATTTTGTTGATTATATGGACATTGATCCCACAAAACCAGTAAAGTATGTGGCATGACGTTTACGAAGTGGAGCGAGCGCGTGGTGGACGCAACATCTTCAAACGAGGCAGCGAGACGAGAAGGGTTTTGTGCGTAGTTGGGCACGGATGAAGCAACTCCTATGTGCTCAGTTTTTGCCTATAGATTATGAACAAATCTTATACATGAAGTACCAACATTGTATGCAGGGCAATCGTTCTGTTAGTGAATATACAAAAGAATTTCATCGACTCAGTGCACGGAACAATTTGATTGAGTCAGTGAACCAAATAGTAGCTCGATATATTGGTGGACTCAAATATAGCATTCAAGAGAAATTGGAACTGAACTCCGTGTGGTCGCTCTCTCAGGCAATCAATTTTTCTTTGAAAGCTGAAATGCAACAACACCGAGCTACAAGGTTTCCAAATCCTCCCCGGTTACCCCTGGACACTTCACTTGATCCTAGCAGAGGAAGCTCTCTCCCTACTAAAGCTGCTAATAACACCCCATCTCCCTCACAGCCCACACCACCACCACTAAAGCAAGTTGCCTCAATTCCTGAGAACAAGAACCAGCCCAGAGCTAAAACTTCAAATCAGAACAACCCCTATGCTAAGCCAACATCCCTTAAATGTTTTTGCTGCTTTCAACCAGGCCACAAGTCCAACAAATGCCCCCAATGGCAACAACTTCAATTGCTGGAACCCGAAGAGGGTGAAACGTTGGTTCATCCAAATGACGAAGAAGATGCAGAGATTGAGGATACTAAAGGAGATGATGGCGAACCATTAGTATGTGTCATGGAGAAGTTATTGATAGTTCCTCGCCAGACCAATATTTCACAGCGTAATGCCATCTTCAAGACCCGGTGCACTATCAATGGCAAGGTTTGCGACCTTCTAGTTGACAGTGGCTGCACAGAGAATATCATCTCTCGCTTAGTTTTCCAAGCCCTTCAACTTAAAACTACAAAGAATCTGCAACCGTATAAAATTAGTTGGGTCAAAAAAGGGATTGACATACCAGTTACAGATATGTGCCAAGTTACTTTCTCCATTGGGCGACAGTACGTATGTGATGCATTGTGTGACGTCTTGGACATGGACGTATGTCACTTGATTATAGACCGCCCATGGCAATTTGATGCTGGTGTTGTTTATGATGGTCGAGCCAATGCATATTCCTTGGAGTGGAAAGGCAAAAGTCTTAGATTATTATCCGGATCCCATGAGAACAAGCTGCCACTTACCAATACTTTGCCTTCCACAATAATGCAGCTAGTTTCCGGTCCAAATTTATTACTCACTTGGCGAGATTCACTCCATTATGGGCACTAGTGGTCACCGATTCC